CGGTGTGAATATATTTAATGTTACCAGATTGTCTATTTGAGAATGGTTAGAATGGTAGGACCAGGTATGATGGACCACACTGTAATCCCAGCACTTAGGCAGCTGGAGCAGGAACTCTCTAGTTTGAGGCCAACATCAAAAGGGAAGGTGGCTACTTTTATCTCATTTCTGTTCTTTGATAAATTTCTGAGTTTAGTATAATTTATTTTATTTGATAAGCTAAACTCACTTCTCAAAATGAGTTTAAATGGGAGAATATGTAAATTGAAAGTTTTATAATATATTTTAATCCCAAACTAAATATAGATTCTTGTTTATCTTTTAGTTTGGGTTAAACCTTTTTATGAATAATCTGAATTGAATTTTATTTAGTCTTTTTACATAAGCCATACTCATATTCCATATTCTGTTTTTTAGTGTCTTTCAAGTAGAGGAAGAATTAAAATGATAGAATATCTGGTGGTGCTGTTGTTGGGGAAGCGTGTTACTTCCCAAGTAGTTTACAACAGTTTTGACTGGTTCTAATTGGGTAGCAGATGTTTGTAACTCTTGTTGAGTTGTTTCAAAACTTTTAACTTGGTTCTTACTTGAAAATATTTCCATACATATTTCATCAATGTTTCCCCTTATCCATGACGGATGCACATTTCAAAGACCATCAGTAGATGATTGAAACCACAGATGCTACTGAACCCTACACACATACTTCACTCTTCAAGACAGGCACTTCTGGGCTATTATTAAATAAAATGATGGTTCCTGGAACATAGGTGCCATGATAACCAATAAACAAGCATGTAGAAAACAGTGTGGCTATGGTGAACAAACAGATGATTCATCTCACCAGGCTGCTCAGAACAGCCCACAGTTTTAACCTCTACATGGTTTATTTCTGTAATTTCACATTTATTATCTTTGGACTGTAACTGAGTGCAGGTTGTTGAAACTGCAGGAAGTGAAGCATCAGGAAACAAAATGCCTTTCACTCGAGGGAAGCACAGCTGCACTTGCTATGTAAGCAGGTTTGGATGAGAGTGCAAACCTGGTGAGCGAGGGCTCAGCAGGGAAGAGCACTGGCTGGTTGGCTGCTCTGCAGAGGACCTGGCTCCAGTTCCAGCATCTGCGTGGTGGCTAACAACTGTCTAACAACTAGCTATAGCTCCATTTCCAAGGGATACACACTCTCCTCTGCCTTCCGTGGGTATCGGGCACACAAATTGTGCACATACATCCATTCAGGCCAAAACCATCCCTAGAGATTTAAACAAAAAAAAAAAAAGTACAAATCATTCTTATAAAAATAATCCATATGATGAAAACAAAACAAAACACAGGAACCCAAGAGCAGGCTGTTATCTGCCAAAGTGGAGATAATTATTTGCCAAGTTAGTATTTTATAGGTCTTTGTTTCACAGAAAGCATAGGCTAATGTAGCACAATAAATACGAGACCCAGGGACTGGTATGGGGTTCATGCTTAGCTGAAGATCAGAGAAGCAAGGCAGCCAAGTCACTGCCTCTTACCTCTCCCTCAGCTCAGACCAAAGGGGTGATCCTCAGACTGCTCCCGACTTCACTGCTCCTCAGATTCATTCGGACTGCTGTGCTCTCCTCAGTGTGACTAGAGACTTAACTCTCAGACTGAATGCTTCTACCTTCTGTGCCTCTCAAATCCTGGGATTAAAGATGTGAGCTCTTGATTCACTCTCCGGTAGCATAGGGTGGTCGTGGACTCAGAGATCCATCTACCTCTTAATCCCGAGTCCTGAGATTAAATGCGTGTGCCTGACTTCCATGGCTTATTTTCCTCCTTAGAGTATGACTGCTTTGCGATTTTGATCTCCAGTGGTTTTAATAAATCATAAACAATATATCACCACAGGTTAGTGAGCTTATGTAGCAAATGAGGTACTTTTGGTCTTCTCTGAAATGTCTATATTTTAAAGTGCCATATAATAAGCTTGGTGGGCTGGAGAGATGGCTCAGAGGTTCAGTGCACTGGCTTCTTTTCTAGAGGACCCAAGTTCAATTCTCAGCACCCACATGATAAAAGAAATTCTCAGCCATCTATAGTGGGATCTAATGCCCTCTTCTGGTATAAAGTCAATAGAGCACTTGTATACATAAAATAAATAAATCTTAAAAAAAAAAAAAGCTAGCTTGGCACATGTGTTTACATAAAGACAAGCTTATTCCCATTAGGGCACTGAATTCATTTAGCTATAATAAACCAAATAAGCTACCTATATAACTTTTCTTCCACACATCATTTTTAAGGAAGCACATGGAAATCGTTTGGCTGAAGAACTAGGGGCGTCTCAAGTACGTGAAGCTCATTTAGAAGCAAGAATGCAAGCAGAAATAAAGAAATTATTGTCAGAAGTAGAATCTCTCAAAGAAGCTTATCATATGGAGGTAAAGAGAAATATACTTTGTGTCAGTAAACCCCTCTGAAATGAATTGACCTACGAGGATGAAACTATGAGTCTAGTTCTTGAAGTGTGCATTATAAATTAATATATTGTGATCTTCATTTTAAGTAAGTACATGCCATGCACTTATCCTTTCACTTAAAAGGCTGATGTACTCTAGAGTTAAGGTCTAGTTTTTGAGGCAGTCATACTGAGTCTAAATCTGTTTGATAACGGTATGACCTTGGATAAGTTATTTAATCTCTCCAAGATATGTATAATGATAATAGCTATCTCATAGGACCGTCATAGGAATAAATTAATTACTATATGTGAAGTCCTTAGATTAGAGTCTGACTCATCATTATCAATTGTAGAACTTGTGAAAAACAAACTGGAAATACTTAATTACAGGCATAAACCATTTTATATGATGTGAAAACACTGTAAAGTACTTTCTAATTTCTAACCTCTAGTCTGATAATAAGTTACAGGAGCAGTGCTAGAACTGTTTTATCAATCGTCTCCCTAAGTTTTTATGTTTTCACGTAGGCAGACAAAGACTACGCTTTAGGGCTTGCTGCCTCAAAAGTCACTAGCGAAACTGCTGCATATCCCACCACCCAAAGAGCAGCTCATCATTGTCTATATATAACTCTAGTTCCAAGGTGATCTGACACCATCTTCTGACCTCCGTGGACACCAGGCATACATGTAGCAAAATACTCATACACATAAAATTTAAAAATAAAATGAAATTCAGGGTTGGAGATATGACTCAGCAATTAAGAACATAATTGCCCTTCAAAGGACCCAAGTTTGATTCTCAGCATCTATATCAATGGCTCACACCAGCTGTAACTCCAATGCTTATAGACCTGATACCTCTGGCTTTTGCAAGCATTTGTTAACCTGTTTATACAGGCAGACACAGATACACATACACAAGTTAAAAATAAAATAAATATTTTTAAAAGAGGTTTTAGTGTTTTTACTATGTGGGGATAAATTTTTAAGTGTGACAAATATATAATTTATATAAAATATTTTTTCTATTTGATTGTTGACAAAGATTTAGTTTTAAAGTGTGTGTGTTGTTTCTATATAAAATGAGAGGGCTGAACCAGGCACACTTGTACATGCCTATAATTTTGAGAGAAACAGAGGTTCAAGGTCATCCTTGGTTACATAGCAAGGTCTTAAGGCTAGTTTGGGCTACATAAAACTGAGTCTCAAGAAACTGAAATAAATATATAAATGAAATGAGAAGATATACTATTATTTATTTTATACCCTGGCTGCAGTTTTTATTCCCTCTTTTCCTCCCAGTCTTCGCTCTGTTCCAGTCCCATCCCCCATCCAATCTTATTCCTTTTCTGTTCAGGAAAAGGCAGATATGCTATTACAGTAATAGTTTTAAAAGGAATTACCAGTTTTCATTTTAATTTTATGTGTATGGGTGTTTTTCCTGAATGTACTTCTGTGTAATATGGGTGTACAGTGCCTGAGGAGGCCAGAAGAGGATGTTGGATACCCTGAAACTGGTACTGGTAATTAACCCCAGTGCTCTTAACTACCAAGGCCAAGGCATCTCATCAGCTCTAAGGATTACTAATTTTAGCAATGTTTTTTTTTTCTTTAAATAATTTTTAGCCAACCCAAAATTTAGGTTTCAGATTTGTCAGAAAAATCATTTAATAATTGCAAAGTTATTTTGAAATGAGAATGATTTTGTTAGGTTATATTAGGTGCTTATTACAGAAAAATTTAAACATTAAAATGGATGGAATAATAGAAATAGAATAAATCTTCATATATGTTACTCAATTTAATTAATCAACTTGTGACAAATTACCTGTTTCTTTTATTTAAAGGAATGTTGGTAGGAATTGTACTAGACATAAAACCCAGATAATTTTAGCTACTTTTGGAATTATGGTCAACATATCTCTAGCCTCACTCACTTTCCTACCATTCCCTTAATCACATACTATTTTGATATTAAGTCCATGTATCAAAAGTTTATCAACTGAACTATTGAATATTTCTAAGTGAAGGGCTAATAAACTGCAATGGTATTTTTCACATTGCAAAATTGAGAGCACTTGCTTTTTGTTAAGTGTTAAATATTCTTTATGTATTATTATACATAAACTACACTAAAATTCTTTCAGTGCAGAGTAGACAGTCGCTTCCTGATGTTTAACCATATTGCCTGTAACAGGTCAGTGAATACAAGTGAGTCTTCTGCTTGGTTCTGAGACAGTAAAGAGATGTTTCCCAGTATTTAAATATATGTATATAACCTGTTATATGAATTTAAGTGTAATATAAGTTAGGTATAGGCTTTGAGGTGACATCCCCAAACTTTGGGGAAAAGTGAACGTCACTAAAGTCCAGTCCTGTCGTGAGAAAGGGAAAGCAGTGGTAATAAGGTATAATAGGGTAAGAAAGACAAATTACTAGATACTAATTTATTTAGTAGCTTAATTAAAGCACTGCTTATATTACCTATTTGCCAAGAATGACTTCACTTGCTAGCTGGAACATAATAACCTGGTGAAATAGCTGAAACAATGAGTCATTGCCCTTAATAATCTGCTGACCCCACATATGCTTCTGTGTAGAATCTTGCTCGTCCACCCCACCTTGTGGTTTTAGAGCATGAAATGAGAGTGCAAACCTAGACCCAGAGCCCAGGCATTTCAGGAGCTATCCTGGTTTTGTTTCACCAGTGACACCTCTTCTCTTCCATTCTAAATCAGAGTGCTTATTCCAGAAAGATCTGCAACAATAGTATTTATGGAGCAGAAACTGTTTTGGTTTCTTTTTTTAAAATACCATATCTACTTTACTACAAGCCAGTTTTACTTAATTAGGACTGCCCAACAAAAATGTTTTACCAATAAGGACTTGGGAGCCAGATACTTGGGTGAAAGCCTGGTAGCTCAGAGAGGCAGAGAAAGCACCCAGCTGACCTTCCTCCACCTCCTTGTCCCCTAAGCCCTTTTTCTTCTCCACTGTCTTCAACCACCTTCCTCAAACTGAATGTCCCAACCTCCGATTCTACTTCCTGTGCATCTCTCTAGCTGTTCTCTTGACTCTCCTTACTCTTAATAATCCTATGTTCACTTCCTGCCAACTGGTTGCTTGCCCCTCCTATGGTTGACTTTATTTAATCCAAGCAGAAAGCTCTTGGATTAAAGGTGTGTGCTAGGGCTGAGCACCACCATAACTAGAGACAGGTTTTTCCAGTAAATAACGCTATCTCAGTGTTCACAGTGTGATCAAATATCCTGTAACAAAAGTATCCTGTTAGCTATTCATAATTTTAATTCTGGTATATGATTTAAGTAATGGTATGCACTAAAAAGCCAAAAGAAATTTGTTTTGTAATACATAGGGCACTGGCAATTACTCCTTAGTAGCCTTTTTAAGATAAACAGTTAGATCTGCCCTTTCTCCCTGTCTTAGTTTGGGTTGCTATTGCTATGATGTAACACCATGACCAAAAGCAAGATGGTGGGGCAAGGGTTTATTTGGCTTACAGTTCCATATCACAGTCCATCACCAAAGGAAGTCAGGACAGGAACTCAAACAATGCAGGAACCCGTTCAGAGACCATGGAGGGGTGTAGCTTTCTGGCTTGCTCCTCATGGCTTGCCCTAGTAACACCTTCTCAGGGATGGCCCTACCCACAATGAGCTGGGCCCTCCTACATCAATCACTAATTGAAATATCCTACAGATTTTTCTATAGCCCAGTCTTTGTTTGTTTGTTTTGTTTTTGTTTTGTTTTGTTTGTTTGTTTTTTTCCAAGACAGGGTTTCTTTGTGAAGCTTTGGAGCCTATCCTGGCACTAGCTCTGGAGACCAGGCTGGCCTGGAACTCACAGAGGTCCGCCTGCCTCTGCCTCCCGAGTGCTGGGTTTAAAGGCGTGCGCCATCAACGCCCGACTTATAGCCCAGTCTTATTGAGACGTTTTTCTTAATTGAGGCTCCCTCCTCTCCAACGACCCTAGCTTGTGTCAAGTTGACATAAAACTAGCCAGCACGCTTAATTATGGAGATCAGTTTTGTTCCACAGATGTACTTTTTGGGATTCTCCAAATACTCCATCAGTTGTATCCTATCTTCAAGGCAATGCCTTGTTGGCATGAGATGCCCAAGCAGACCATGGAGCTTTGGTCCAGTCCACAGGGTAGCCCTGGGCATACTTCTGAACAGAAATCATCTTGCTGTTCTCAGCAGCATCCGTTTTTAATCTTCTTCCTGCTGCTCAACACTGCCAACATTATGACCAGAAGCAGACATGGCCATTCATCCCCCTCTCTCTCCAATTTTCTTTCTTCTTTTATCTTTCTTTTCTTTTTTCCTTCCTTCCTTTCTTTGGTGGTGTTTGGTTTTTGTTGTTTGGTTTTTGAGACAGTCTCTCTATATAAGCACTGGATGTCCTGAAACTCGCTATGTAGTCCAGATTGTCCTGGAACCCAGAGATCACCTACCTGCCTTTGCCCCAGGAGTGCTGGGATTAAAGACATGTGCCACCACACCCAGCTCTGAGACTATTTCCTTTATATATCAAATGTGCAGTAATTATTCAGATTTCTCTAATTGTCTAAAAAATTTATTTAGGTAAATAAAAATCCAGTATATGGTTAACTGTTAAGTGAATATAAGACTGTGTTCTTAGTTGGGTGGTGGTAGCACATGCCTTTACTCCCAGCACTGGGGAGGCAGAGGCAGAGAGATCTCTGTGAGTTCAAGGCCAGGCTGGTCTACAAAGCTACACAGAGAAACCTGTCTCAAAAACCAAAAACAAAAAACAAAAAAAAAGCGTGTTCTTTTCTTTTTTTTCTTGAATATTGCATTTAGTGCAAAATCAGATGTTTATGGCTATACATTTTATCTCTTAAGGAAAAATAATAGTAGAAAGTATTAGAATGATGTTGAAAACAACTTCATCCTGTTTTCTTTTTACAATTTTGTGACTATAAAGATGATTTCACATGAAGAAAACCATGCAAAGTGGAAGGTTTCTGCTGACTCTCAAAAGACTTCTGTTCAACAACTAAATGAACAACTAGAGAAAGCAAAACTAGAATTAGAAGAAGCTCAGGATACTGTAAGCAATTTGCATCAACAAGTTCAAGACAGGAATGAAGTCATTGAAGCTGCAAATGAAGCATTACTTATTAAAGTGAGTAAGCATATAAAAGTAATGAAGTAACATTTGTGAAAAATAAATGTTTTATATTTCTTGTTCTTATTTATAGAGGTCTTCATGACCAATTATTTATTTGAAACAAAATGTATCTTATTTAGAAGACAAATATGAGATATTATGATATATATCATATTCCACAAAATAATTTATATATGTTTAAACATAAATGCTTCCATTTATAATATTTACTATAGTAGGCTTTATACTGATATGCCTTACCAAAAAAAGTTGAAGCATTTTTCAAAATCAGTAAAGTTCCTTTGAAAATTTTAAAGTAAAAATATAAGATATTCATGCTGGGTGTTGGTGGCCCACGCCTTTAATCCCAGCACTCGGGAGGCAGA